CATATACCAACATCATATATAGTGAAAGCAGGGGTTGTACCATGGGGAGGGACATACAAGGCAACAAAGACATAATCTTATAAATATGTTAGAAACGATTGCATGAAAGATCTCTCTCTCTCTTTTTGTCAGTCGTGGAGCTTGAGCTCTAGGCCTGGAGAGCTCACTTAGTTTTTAAAATTTATTTTTAATAGTTAACACAGATGGCTTCAATTCCATAAATGAGACTATGGGTAGAGTTGTCATTCCTTCCATTCTCTCCTGTCTTTCCCCATTCATTTTACTTTGTGCCAGTCCTGAGGCTTGAATCCGGGGCCTGAGAGCTCTTCCCAAGCTTTTTTGCTTAAGGCTAGTGCTCTACCAATTGAATCAAAGTCCTACATCCATCTTTTTGGTGGTTAATTGGAGATAAAAGTCTAACAGACTTTCCTGCTCATAGTAGCTCCAAAATGGAATCCTCAGAACTCAACCTCCTGAGTAGCTAGGACAACAGGCATGAACCACTGGCACCTAGCATTTTTTATTATTTAGCATTTATTTATTATTTATTTATATCCCTATTAATATTGCAAAATGTTATTTTTCTGTGGGTTCTACATTTTGATAATGGATAATAATCTGTCCTTTTCCTCTTCTAAATGATTGTTTTTTTTAAAGTGTGGCCAGAAATTACAGTTACTAACAAAATCTTACACAACTCATCAGTTCTGTGCTAGAACATTTCTATTTAACAGTGCTATTTCTTAGGGAAAATGAAAAACAAAAAAATGTCTCAAGTGTTCCTGGAAAAACAGGAAAAAGAAGAGGAAGGCCCCCAAAACGGAAGAAACTACAAGAGGAGATAATAGTGAGGTAAGAAAGAAAGCCTGTCGACACTGTCTTTTCAGGCTGGAACCAACCTTATTTATTTATTTATTTATTGTCAGCTGTGGGACTTGAACTATGGGTCTGGGCGCTGTCCCTCAGCTCTTCAGTTCAAGGCGAGCGCTCTACCACTTCGAGCCACAGCACCACTTCTGGTTTTCTGGTAGTTAATTGGAAATGAGTCTCACAGACTTTCCTGTATGGGCTGGCTTTAAATGGTGATCTTCAGATCTCAGCCTCCCCTTAGTAGCTAGGATTACAGGTGTGAGTCACCAGCGATTGGCTTATATTTTCTTAATTTAATTGCATTTAGTAAAGGATCTGATCTATCATTACAAATCTGTGAGGTCTTGTTCTTAAAATTTCTAGTAACAAAGTACACAGCTTCTTTGCACTAAATTTAGAAATTCTAACTCATTGTAAATGCACTTAGATTTAGTAGATCAGTCAATCAGAATTTGATTTTTGTTAACTTCCATTAGTGTTCTTTTTTCTTTCTTTTCTTCTTTTTGCCAGTCCTGTGGCTGGAACTCAGAGCCTGGGCACTGTCCCTGAGCTGCTTTTGCTCAAGGCTAGCACTCCTCAGTGCCACTTCTGGCTTTTTCTGTTTATGAGGTGCTGAGGAATCGAACCCAGGGCTTCCATGCATGCCAGACAAGCGCTCTTCCACTGAGCCACCTTCCCAGCCTCAGTATTCTTAAATGGTGAAAAATGTGGCTAAAGTGGAGTTGTGTTTCTGACAAATATCCTGTAGTCACTTGTCTGCACATACAGCATCTGGCCTCTATTCAGAAGCTGTTTTAATTACTCTTCTCCATTTCCCTGTACCAACCATTAAAGTACCGTAGCACCCACAGCTTAATGCTGCCCTCTACTGGCACCTTTTTATTTTTTGTTTTTGCTGGTCCTGTGGCCTTAACTCTGGGCCTGAATGTTGTCCCCAAACTTCTGTGCCGAAGGCTAGCATTCTACCACTTGAGTCACAACTCCAATTTTTTGGTGGTTAATTGGAGATAAGTGTCTCATGGACTTTACTGTCTAGGCTGGCTTTGAACCGTGATCCTCAGATCTCAGCCTCCTGAGTAGCTGGATTTACAGGTATGAGCCACCATTACTTGGCTCTCCTGGTGCATTTCTTTCTTTTTTTTTTTTTTTTGTCGGTCGTGGGGCTTGAACTCTGGGCCTGGG